GAGAAGGCTCAGCAGCTTAGAGCCCTGACTGATCTTGCAGAGGACACAGGTTCGATTTCCAGCACCCACATGGTGGCTAACAACAGCAAGTTACTCCAGTTCCAGAGGATCCAACACCCTCTTCTAACCGCCATGGGCACTGCACGACACGGTTGCACTTACATACATGCAGGCTGTTACTACATTCATACACATAAAATAAAAATAAATATTTTTTAAAAACGCAAGTAAGGAAAAAGAAATTACTTTGAAATGTCCACAGTGTTGGCTTGAGAGAGACAGAGAGCTTTGCAGAGTGAGGCTGTTTCAGTTGTGTCGTATCAGGAGAGCCCCGTGCTAGCTTAGTAACCCTCTGCTTTAATCCAAGATGTATCCTCAGTTTGATATTAAACAAACCACATGTTTCAAGGCAAAAATAAAAACAGAAAAAAACAAATTTCTTTTTTAGCATAAGAAAATAAATTTATTTACTCTCCCTAGACAGAAAAGTCAAGAGGCTAAGGAAAGTGTAGATACCTTTTGCTAGGGGCTAGGGTTTATTTGGGGTGGACACACTAGTTGCTGGTTCTTAACCTTTTTATTTGTCTTAACTTTTTTATTATTTTGTTTGCTTGTTTCCTTCTTAGCTTACAAATAGCAAGTTTCCTCGTGACATGTTTATACATTCCTAGCTTCGGCTGATCCTTCCTTCTCCATCTCCCTGCTCTCTGTCCCTGGTGATACCCTTCCACCTCTAGCTTCCCCCTTCTAATTCAAATCACATTGTTCCAATCCCCACCCTTCTCCCTCCCTTTCTAGTTTCCTGGCTTCTGGGTACACTCACTCTCACATAAACACAATTATATAAAAATTAGAAGCTAGGATGCGCATGAGAGAGGAAACACAGTGTTTGTCCTTCTGAGCCTAAGCTGCCTCAATATATTTTCCAATTCCATCCATTTTCCTGATGATTTCTTAATTTCGTTGTGTTAAGGCTGAATAAAATTCCATTGTGTGTATGAACATTTCCATTTTCTAGTCATCTGTTGATGGGTATCTAGACTGATTCAGTTTTCTTGCTGTTGTGAATAGAGTAGCAGTGAACATGGATGAACAAGATTTCTGTAGCAGGATGTAGAAGTCTTTGGGTATATGCTCAGGAATGGTATAGCTGGGTCATATGGCCATTCTATTTTTAGTTTAGGAAAACCAATTTCCCTGGTATATTATTGTTTCAAGCTTCCAATATCCATATCCAGGGCATACAACCTCCCGAGGCTAGAAGGCTGACCATATGTTATTTAATACTCATTAAAATGTACCCACTTCCTCAATTATTAAATGTACTTTATATGTAATCTTATAATAGCATATAAGAAATTTTTTTTGTCTTGCCTACAGGCCAAACTCAGAAGTGTTGCCATTAACTGACAAAATTTTGAATTTTGCATGAAATGAACATTTACTTAAAATTTACCAGTTTTAGTTCCATATATTTAGAGATACTGACTTCAGGCATCTCAGATGTTTTTGTGGAGTCCTGTATGTGTTTGTCATCTCGAGAGTTAAAATGGCCCTGCCCACACCCAGGTGCCAGCTCAGAGTGGGAAACAGGTGAACACTGGCCAATTGGGAAGAAGTAGATTTCAATGACAGTTGGATCTGGTGACTGGAGGCTGCCTCAAAAAGAGGTTTATACCATTGTTGTAAAGGCAATGAGATAGTGATGGGTGGTGATCAGAAGCATAAAGAAGGGGGACTGGAAGAGAAGCAGAGAGTAAAGACAGACACAGAAGCTAGAGAAACTGAGAGGGGAGAGAGGAGTCCAGAGGGTTTGATCAGGTCTCCAAGTGATGTATGTTAATATCGCCCGGCTCTGCAGTGTTCAAAGCTGCGTTTTAAAATCTGCTCAACTGTTTTCCCATAATCCTACTAAGATCATCTGGATTTGAATATTTTGCATTTACACAGTAGTTCTGAGGTCTCCTTGCACTTGCTAATTGACCTCAGCCTTGTAATTGCTGCTCAAGAAATTGACACATTCTGCCTGCATCGTGAGCATCTTAAGTACCCCCCCTCTGAGACACACACACACACACACACACACACACACACCCTCTGCCTTGGGATCTTACTTGGTAAGGGCCACTAATCATGTGTCTCCTTAAAACCCTTTTGCTCTGGTACAAAAGCAACTTAACGGGAATTCCCAACGCGAGGCCAGAGCCCCTTGAGATGTAGAGAGACCCTCCCAAGGTCTGAGAGTCACTGGAACTACCACAACCACCATGGGGCCCAGGGGGGCACCAGAGCTCCTGGTGTGGCACCCAGAGGCAGTAGCTTCAGAGGCTCAGTGCCAGTGGGACTGGAGGTGAAGCTGGGGGCCTTGGTGCTGCTCCCGGTGCTCACCCTCCTCTGCAGCCTGGTGCCTGTCTGTGTGCTGTGCTGGCCAGGCACTAACCATGAAGCCTCAGCTTCCAGCCAGAAAGTCCTAAGCCTCATAAGCTGCTTCGCAGGAGGAGGCTTTTTGGCTACTTGTCTTCTGGACCTGTTACCTGACTACCCGGCTGCCATGGATGAGGCCTTGGCAGCCCTGCATGTGACACTCCACTTTCCCCTGCAAGAGTTCATTCTGGCCTTGGGTTTCTTCCCGGTCTTGGTGATGGAGCAGATCACACTGGCTTACAAGGAGCAGTCAGGGCCACCGTATCGGGAAGAGAAGAGGGCTCTGCCGGGAACAGTGAATGGTGGGCCTCAGCATTGGCATGGTGGACCAGGGGCCCCCCAGGCAAGCGGAGCTCCAGCAGCTCCCTCAGCCTTGCATGCCTGTGTACTGGTCTTCTCCCTAGCCCTGCAGGGAGAAGGCCCTGTTCGAGGGCCTGGCTATGGGATTGCAGCCGGACCAGGTTCGGGCAATGGAGCTCTGCCTAGACTTGCTGGTCTGCAGGGGTATCCTGGCAGTTAGCCTATCCCTGTGGTTGCTCCAGAGCCACCTATGGTACAGATGGTAGCTGGTTGTGGGATCCTCTTCTCATGTATGACACCTCTGGGTATTAGACTGGGTGCAGCTCTGGCAGAGTCAGCTGGACCTCTGCACCAGCTGGCCTAGTCTGTGCTGGAGGGCATGGCGGCTGGCACCTTCCTGTATATCACCTTCCTGGAAATCCTACTCCAGGAGCTCGTCACTTCTGAGCAGAGGATCCTCAAGATCATTCTGCTTCTAGCAGGCTTTGCCCTGCTCACTGGCCTGCTCTTTGTCCAAATCTAAGGTATATTTTAACACTATGAAATAACAAAATAAAAGGTAGTTCAATGATATGTCATTTGTCTAGCATGAGTGAAGCCTGGGGTTCGGTCCCCAGTACTGTAGCAACAATAGTGTGTGTATGGTGAGGGGTAGGGGATGAAAAAAGAGAGAAATAGACTGACTTTGAAAGAGAGGACACTTGGTAGGTAAGTTTTGAAATTTTTATAGCCACGAGGCTATAAATATATTACCAGGAAAAACCGTGAGGTGGTGATGTTGTCCCACAAGGCCTTCCCAGCCGTGGCCTGCCAGGAAGCAAACACTGCTGTTCCTCTCCAGCCTTGTGGCCATCACTCCCTTCATGACGCCACACAGGACAAACTCCCAGCCCTGTATGCTGTACCTCTGTACTTCTGTCCACCCTCCTCTCCCTGCTGCTCCTGGCTCAGGCACTTGCTGCACCACAATATCTCTGTGACTGGTTGGTGGGCCCCTTAGTCCCTCAGTGGTTAGGGCTGTGCCTCTCCCTACCTGGAAGTCTGTGACCAGAGGGAGTCCAAATGGGCACTTTCAGATGACCCCTCCCTGTGTTCCTGGCTGTGAGCAACCATGAAGTATATTCTATATCTGGCTTTGCAAACATTTTAAACCTCTACTCAGTATAACAAATGCACCTTACTTTGCAACCCAGAACACAAACACGTGTAACTCTTCATGAGATGTTGCTGGCCATTACTATATGTAATACAATCTAAGATTTCAAATTGGCCCAGCTTTTATAAATGCTACAGGTATATTGATTCAGCAACCCGTTACATCCTATTGGATAAACTCATTAGAATAGCTAGAGCATGTCCACAACTAGCCACCAGGGGGAGCTGGTAGGTCAGGCCTTATTGAGGAGTAAACTGGGCTGGTGGAGTTAGAGGAAGGGCAGTCCCAGACAGTAGGACACTCACTCAGCTTGACAAGTTCCCTTGTGGAGGGGCCACGGGTGCTCACTTATTTTATTTCTTGAACAAACATCAACTTAGTTGATTTAGCAGTATAAACTTTCCCTGGCTTGATATCTCCTGGGAGGGAGGTTGCTCATTTAAATGTGTTGTTTTCTGCTAGTTGTTGTCTTGGTACTTGTACCCTCTTCTTCCTGGAAAAGGGTAGAATTTGTCTTCCCCTTCCCTTTAAAAAAAAAAAAAACTACCCTTTGTGTGTCCAGCTGCCTTGAGATTTGCCGTAAGCCTTATACAGACTTAGCTAACCTGGGAAGTTTCACACTGTCCCCTGTGCTAGGCACCCTCCTTCCTACTCAGCAAATGAGGCTGCCTCTGCTTGCCATTTTAATTCTTGGGAAAATGATGCCCCTAGACGACAGTCCTAGAAGCCACATAGCCTGGTCCTGGGCATGAGGAACCTATGCACAGAGAAGAAAACTTCATGGTGTCCAGAACTAGTCACATTGAGAAGCTCCCTGCCTGCCCTGGGCTTGCTTCCTGCAGCAGATGGCTCATGTTCACCTCAGTATTTATCTGCAGGGGAGACCACAGGCCCTGGGGTGTTTCAGCCTTCCTCTGAGAGCACTGAGGGAATCAGATCACAGAGGGTTTAACTGCATTATCTTTAGAGCATCAGAAGGTAGCAGAACTCTCATCCTTACTTTATTACCTCTACCTGTTTCTAAGGGGCTGTTTCTCATGCTTGAAAATGATGCCTATGGTGTATGCTCCACCTTTGCAGGATGAAGATGCCTCAGCACTTTGAGAACATTGAGTATGTAGCATCTACATGGAGCAAGCCAGGACGTTAAATGAGCCTTAAGCAAGAAGAATTCTTCTAACTTCATCAGCAAATGATAAAGTGGCTCTCTCTGCCAGCTTCCCCACCCCAACCCCAACACTCAAACACCCCTAGCACAGTCCAACCAATGCAACCCTCAGACACAGGTTAAGCTGGGGTCGGCTATCATAGGGTAAGGGGATGCCTATCTGTTTCTTCCTAGAAACCAAGCTAGATGTGCTTATTAAGACAACCTTAGGGAATTTTTATAGGCAAGAATTCAGAACCTATTTTGGAGCCCTTTCCTGTTGGCCCAGGAAGTAGCCATAAGTTTCAGTAAGAATAACACCCAGCCAAGAACTGAGGGAACTCAGAATCCTCTATGATTCTGCCATTAGGAAACCAAAGGCTATGGCTGTTAGAGTTCCCTAACCTTAGTGTTGTCCATTCCTCAATGAGAATGTGCTGGAAAAATGTAGTTCTCACCTCAGTGTACCTCACCCCCAAATACCATGTGAAACTACTCCTAAAAATCCACAAAAACAGCTGCTTCCAGTCAGGGCTCCCCTGTAGCAACAAGTCGACTGGAATTGAGAACTTGTATCAGGCCTCCACTGTGGGCAAAGCTCTGCAAGTGTCAGTCAGGCTCAGGAGTAGGTAGACCAGATGTGCTGTCTCCACCCTTCCCCACAGGTACTTAAATAGGTTAATAGAAATATGTCTCTTGCACAACCCTGCAGAACTCTTATTGGGGGAGGATCTACGTTAGATTTGTTTCATTCCATGGCTCTAATCCTTTGCTTCTTTCTAGCTATAAACACTCAGATGTGATTTCAGTTTCTCTCACTAAATAACTTATTTCTCATTCTCCAAGAATTTGGGCTGATTCTGTAACTTTCTTGGGCCAGTAGAAGCCTCCAGAATCCTCATCTCTTTGTTTCTAGCATCTTTGGATGGCCACGAGAACATATGTGGACAGTCTAGTTCAAGCCTGAACAAAGTTGAATCCTCTCAGCTGCCTGAGCAGAGTCAGCCTACATCAGTGGACAGCTGTGAGCCTGAATGGCCAAGGTCAGGAAAGCTACCTCATTGGACACCCAGGCATGTGGGCAAAGAACATCTACTGAGGTATGTCACCCAGGCTTTGGGGCCATTGGTTACCTAACACTATGGTCAAGGGCAATGGACAGGCCCTTTGAAGAGTTGTTAGGAACAATTTTTTTCCTCCCATATAAAGCAGGTTCCTGTACACTGGTCTTCTCTTGCATTACCCAAACTGAGTATCTTCCAGGGGTTTTTAAAGAAATATTCTATTTATCATTTTTATTTTTTGTGTATGAGTGTATTGCTTGCATGTATATAAGTACATCCCTGTCATGCAATGCTTGTGGAAGCCAGAAGAGGGTGTCAGATCCCCTGGAACTGGAGTTAGCCACCATGTGGGTGCTGGGATTCGAACCTGGGTCCTCTGGAAGAGCACCAGTACTCTTAACTGCTGAACCATCTCTCTAGCCCCGTCCATGGGTTTTCAACTCTACAGGTATGTTTAATATGTTGGAAACCAGAAACTAGGCACTCTAAAGTAAAAAGGCACTCTTTATTAAGCATCAAGCAAACGGGCCAAAGCCCACAAGCATGACACCATGTATTTCCAATGATTTGGATAACACTCCTGCTACCCAGATAGGGCAGGTCATTTGCATGGGTTAGCACTCGTCATGCTGGTACCTGGGTAGAGCTCCTCTCCACATAATCGTTAGCGAAGCACAGACGGTTGAGTTGAGAATGTCATTGGTAAGTAGCGGCAGTGTTTTGCCTTCCTAATTTTAATGTGAGTAAGAAGCACACATACGACTCTGACAGACTATTCCTGAATCCAAGACCCTGTGCTCTGGCAATTGTAGAATTATTGTCCTCTGCCCTACCTATTAAAACATTGTACAAACTAGATATGGTCACTCACAGTTGTAAGCCTACCCCTTAGGAGGCTGAAGCAAGAGGATTAACATAAATTCAAGGCCAGCCTGAGAACATTGTGAGTACCAAGTGGCCAGTCAGAGCTATATAGCAAGATCTTATCTCAAAAAAAAAAAAAGCCCCAAACCAACCAACCAAGCAAATGAAAACAAAAAAAAACAAAAAAAAAACAAACCGACAAAAACCAGCAAAACCAAAACCAAATAAGTAAAAAGCATACAGACCGGGATTGAAGGCTGAGTTTGTAAAATAGACACTGTGCTTCTGGGCATTTGATTATGCATTTGGTTGACAGTGATTGAATGATGCATACGTCATTAATATTCTTTTGGTAATCAAGGCCGTCCATCAATCAGCCTCAGCAAGTATACTTCCTAGAAGCATCAGAGATTAATTTATGGATGGGGAGGATGTAAACAAGTTGGCTCCAGTGTCCCTACTAAACATTGATTTCTTTTGTTTTTCTCATCTCACCTCATCTCTGACTCTAGAGTTGTGACATGCCCTGCTTTTAGACTAGGGAATATCATGAGTTTGCGTCTAGTCATGAGAGCCCCTTGTCTTTTCCTTACAGATGTGTCTGCCTCAGCTGCTGGCATGCCCGTCTAGTGGTCCCCATCTTGGCTCCATAAGGACCATTGTGTGGTTTTACCCAGTGGCAGCTGTTGAGAGGACAGCTGTGCGGTTCACTGAGTCTCCCTTGCTGGGGCTTCAGGGGAGACTGACTGGGCTCTGAAGGAGCATTCACCAGAGAATGAGCGCACACAGACTCTGAAATGAGCATCAAGGAGGGGTCTTTCTAAGTAAATGTGTAGGTCTTTTTTTTTTTTTTCTTACAAGACTGCTATGATTCAAGTCACGAGCTCTGAGCAAATTTTAAAACCCAGTTCTGAATGAATACAGGATTTATAAACAGAGAATATATTGTCCAAGTGGTAAAAAGAAAACACTTGTTATGAGGCAAAGACATCTTTGCAGTACTGTTTTTAAACTGGGGAATAAAAATTCCACAGGGAACACTATACCTAAATGGTTTAGTTTCTGAAATATACAAGAGAACCCCCAACAGAGATGATAAACACAGATACGCACCCCCTCCAGGAGTCCTCTCAGACACCCAGGAGTATGCTCAGACAGGCCCTGATGTAAGGGAAGGTCTACTTATAATGCTGCTTAGTACTTACTCTAGAGCAGTACTTCCCCAGCAGCCTTTAAACCAGTAGCAAGAATCTGGGAATGTGCCAGAAATACTCATGTCTGGGCATTTCCTAGACATTCTAAACTGGAATTTCTGGGGTTGGTTCACAAGCCCTCCAGGTAGTCTATGCACGCTAGAGCAGCAAGATTCAAAGATACAATCTGTCCCCAGGGTACACAGAAAATGGCTTTTCTTTCAACAAGAGGCTTTGTCTTCAGTGGCCTGAGGCATCCATTACACATAGTAGGGGATTCCTCTTTGTAACTAGGATGGTTACTGGTATGTGTCATTCTGGGATTAAGAAAACAGTCATTCAAATTTTCTGGTGTTTTCTGTCTGTTAGGGAGTCCCCAGTGATAGTTTCATTATCTACATCAACTAAGTGATTTGGTTTCAACAGCAGTTCACTTCTAGAAACCAACTTCTAGATTAATCAGGAAAACTTCAGTCATGCTATAGTTAAAAAACCCTCTCAAACCTCCCTGACTTAACATGACATACCCATAACAGTTTCCACTCCCCACAGTCACTCAAGGTTGATGTTAATGGGACATCCAATTTGGCACATGCATTCATGATCACCACACCAGGGCACAGGATATGGAACACTCCATGCCTTTACAATGGCTTTAAAATTTTTATTATTTTTAATCTAGGTGTATGAGTACATTGCGTCATGCAATGCCCACGGTGGTCAGCAGAGGACATCAGATTCTCTGGAACTAGAATTACAGACCATTATTAGCTATCATGTGGCTGCTGGAAACTGAACCCAGGTCTTCTGCAAGAACAGCCAGTGCTCTTAACTGCTGAGCCATCCCTCCAGCCCCAACAAGGGCTTTTAGAGCTTCCATCTGGAATTGACCCATCCCTTCCACTGATGTGGCATTGATAAATCACATCACGGGACCATGTTTAACTTCAGAATCCAATGGGAAGTACATCCTATTCTGCTCTGTTTATAAAAGCACTGGAGTATCTGAGAACAGCTCTGCTGACTGGATATGAGGTTGTGAGCAATCCAGGGCACCCCTGGTGAGCAAAGTGGGGCACTAACATTACAGAATGAGGGGGCCAAGAACTTCAGGTTCATACCACCCACTACCTCTTTGTTCCTACTGACCTTCAGCTCTAACCCCCCAACCCATCCCCAGATCTTTGATCAAACTTTCTCCTTTTATTAACTAAAGCAGATTTTGCCATTAATAGCCATACGTTGTGAGTATAGTACGAGGCAGTGACAAAGCCAGTAAAATACTGCAGCTGCCACACAGGTGGGAGGTGACCATCACCAGGAGCCCAGTGGCACCTATCAGCTCCCTCCCAGTCCTGCCCCCTCCCAGGCATCTCCTCCCCAATGGCTAACTCTCTCCTGACTTTTGACACCCTATTTTTTTGTTGTTGTTGTTGTTATTCATTTAATTAGTATTCACCAGCCAGGCACTGAACTTCTCAGTCCTGCAGATGGTGTTACAAGCCCAAGCACAGAAACTGGTCTTACTGGGTGTTCTGTCAGTGACAGGCTTTTCTGGAAAGTGTTACTTTAGGCAGGATTGGGGGTGGGTGGGTGAGTTCTCCCAGTTCTTGGGGACTCAACATAGTTAGTGGATATTGTCTTTATTATCTGTTTATTTACAAACATCCATTATTTCTTAACAGAGCAGATGTCTTTGCTGCTTGACACATGAGATGTAAGTGGCCCTCCCAGCGGGCACTCAAGTCTTCTGTGGCATTGAGCCACACTGAATGGATGACAGCCAAGCAGCTCCTCCACCCATCCATGTCAGGTATTTCCTCTTCCCTTTAGCTGCCCTGCCTTACCTTTCTGAAGCTGGCTCAAGGGCCAGGTAAACTGGTTCCTTTTGGGATAGAGCATGGAGAGGAAATGCGAAGCTTTTTGTAGCTTAAACATTGGATGGGGAGTACCTCTTAAACAGGTTCTGTGGTCTGAAAATGAGGGACAGACTTCCCATGAACTTAATGGAGAGGCACAGGGCAGCTGGTTTTCTAAAATGTGAATTACTTCCCAAATGTCCTCTACTTCGAACATTCTGTACCAGCGTGGCACCGTTAAAAGCTGCACTTGGCTGTCCAGTTTCTCTGCAGCGTTCTCATCAAATCCAGGGTGGGCATCTCAGGGTACCAGCTGACTTTATCTTTCATACTCAGCCCCAAACACACCACTAGTGACTCCAGTGAGAGGGAGCGGGGGCCTAAAAAGTCTGCAGTGCTGCAGCCGAGGGTTCAGCCACATCCTTTTGTGGTAACAATCTTCAACAAAATGCACTTTAGTTGTATTTTTATAATCAACTGGCTTCTAAATTACAGTCATGCTGAATAAGAGCAGAGTAAACATGTGATTAGTAATTTCCTTATGCAGAATGTAGAATGAAATTGTTGCTGGCTAAGGACCAGGGCTTAAAAAATGTGCTTTTAGAAAATGAAAAATTGTCCTTATTTCAGAGCCAAAGCAACCATTCATGGCCTTCCTAAGTAACCGCAGGCCAGCTCCATGAGGAAGTGGGGAAGGAAAAGATTAAATTGGGAAAACATACCAAGAGCTGTCTGCTTGCCTGCTTAGACACTGTCATAGGAACTGAATCACCCATGCCTTATGTCCCCTAAACATGAGGAGATGGTATGATCACAGTCATGGTTCCTAGCCTTCTAGAAATAACTGCCTAAGAGATGCAGAAATATCATCCCATTCCCACCCCCCTCCCGGATTGAGAAATGCCCTTGAATACGGACAAACAACACATCAACACATCGAAATTAAGCTGTCTCCCACAGCCAAGGATGGGCTCCGGACATACCAGAGGAGCATACAATGTTTCTTGTTTTGATACAGCTCTTCCCACCCTGCCTTTCTTCTTTGCAAAAACACTTAAGTAGTGTCTGGTAATTGGTAAGGAATTCTCAGGGTGGACATAACTGACACTGAAAACACTTCAGATGCTTGCAAATAAAGCAGGCTCCCAGACCTAAGGAACAAGAGATCCCAGGGGAAAGCAGGACCATGTATTTTCTGCCAGCACCCCGACCCCGCCAAATAAACTCTTACCCATGCTGTGAAGCAAAGCTTACACAAAACATCAGGAAAACAAAGGTATTTCTATTGGCAGCAGGCTTCCCCAGAGAGGAACCACCAGGATTTAAAGAAAGGTTGTGGTTAGTTGCTCATTGTTTTCTTGGAAGGAAAATAGCAGTTTTCTTTCTATCTACAAGGATTCTCATGTGTCTGCGATGTATTTCAGTATTACATAGCCAGGGATAAAATTATTCTCAGAGTATTGACAGCTTATAGGTAAGAGTTCAAAATTTTGCGTTTGGGGGGACTTGTGCCAGTAGCATGTCCCAAGTAGATTTCTCCAGAAGCAAAATACCTCGCCCCATGGTGAGAGACTTAGTTATCACATGTGGTAGCAGTCGACAAGTTGTCTGTTTCACCTTCCTAACATCGAGGTCTCCAAGTTCCCACCACGCTACTCCTGTTGTCTTCGGGGGGCTTCAGCCTCCAGCTGCTCTATTTCTAGGGCAAAAGCTTCTGGGAAATGGTTTCTTGGTCATTTAAAGTTAAGCTTCCTCTTAATGGGCTAGAAAATAAAGCTGGGTGTCTTTTTCCTTGGGCTGGCCTCACTTGGGGACTTGACTCAAGCCTCCTTTCACAAGTTCCTTTACAAAGTTGTGCCTTCATAAACCACAGCTTTACCAATGGGGGGTAGTCAGTCTTGTGTATACAGTGTAAAGATCCTAAGATAAAAAATATACCAAGTGCCCAGTGTTATGAGAGCAAACATGGCCCAGGGCAGTGTGCCTTACCCAAAGGTTAAATACACAGTATATAAGACTTCACTCAAAGATAAAATAAGCACTTGTTTTTATCAGAGCATGGGAGAGTCATTTTCTCATTTACAATATTTTTTCAGGCTTTTTTTTTTCTTTCTTTCTAATGCTGGGGATTGAACCCAGGGCCATGCATATGCTAGACAAATGCTCTAAAACTGTGCTATACTACTAAGCCCTGCATTTACAGTATTAATGCCTTTTCTTTCTCAAAAAGAATGAAGAAAATCTCAAGGACCACAAACATCTGAGAAACAGCTCTCTGCTCAAAAGGCATTTTGTGCTATTAAAGGGCAGACAAACCCCAGAGCCACTTCCCTTCACAAATTCCTTGCTCTTATGCTTTAACTTAATTGATTGTACCCATTTCTGCAGATTTGTCCTGGGATGGAATGAACAGCCTAGGAGTCTGGGTCTCCTAGCATCTTCTCTTAAAAAAAAAAAATGTCTAGCTTCCTTTCTTCAGGCAGTCACTGGTAGTTGTGCCCCAAATCAGTTCAGAACTAGCACTCACGCATCTGAGGAGAATTACTAACTCAGGAGCTCCCTGGAGGTTAGCTGGCTGATAGCAGTATGTATAAGGTCTTAAATTTCAGCTTTGTGACATGCAACCCAGGGATGTGGAACATGTGTCACAGAGTCAGACCTGCCCTCTTGGGAGCCTGAGACCAGCAGACAGCACAGTTGTTCTCCCTGCCCAATCCATCCATCAGTGTTTGTGGCCACTGCTGTAAGTTGTCAGAGCCAGGCAGTGATGAAGCAGGGACAAAGGGAAAGAGCTTAATGAAATTTTATTTTGAAAATATGGCAAGAGTCTAAGGCACTTCAAACATTTAAATACATTTACAGGACCAAAGCAAATGTGACATGATATAAAGGAATCCATAAATACACAGGGAACTACACTTGGTAGTTCTACAGGCAAATACAGAGCCCACTCTTCTAACATAATTCAACCTTTATCATTAGATACAGACAGGGTTGTGCAATTGTTAAAAATATGGTAATGTTACATGTACTTTACTATGGGATATAAAAGTTGAAAATACTGTGTCAATTTCATATAGAAGTCTTTTATATAAAAAGCTATATAATACATCCTCCTAGATAAACCAACTGAAACATTTCTTTTTGTAAGTTTATAAGGTTTAAGAGTTCTACTATTTTTTTTTTTTTAACTGAGACTATCAGCCTGGGGCCCAAACTGCTGACGATCAAAGTCAGCTCAAGCTTCTTATTTTAAAAGAAAGACAAAGGCTGGGCAAGGTGGCACATGCCTTTAATCCCAGCACTTGGGAGGCAGAGACAGGTGGATCTCTGTGAGTTCCAGCCTGGTCTTCATAGTGAGTTCCAGGCCAGCTGGGGGTTACAGGGAGACCCTGTTTCAAAAAAAGACCAAAAAAAAAGAGAAATTAAAAAAATCATCCTGGAATGGAATACTGGAAGGGCTTCTCAATGGGTCCAACATTTAGTAAGCATAAATATTTGTGGAAAAACTCGAAACTACCATGCCAAAGCAAACCTGACACTTGTTTGTGCTGTAGGAGAAGTGGCCTGGTCAGGCCAGACTACCATTTCCTATACTGTTTATAACAGAGCTGACCACTAAGCAGCCACAGAGCCAGATTCAAGCCCTACAGAGAGCAGAATGTGAGAGCGAGGCCTGTGTGCAGCTTAGCCATTTCCCAACTGTGCTACATTCCTTGCAAAAGCATCAGTGTTCAGCCTGTGCCTTTCCACTTTTGTGTGCTGCAGCTCAGGCACCGTCCATAAACATTCAGTATCTGTCACCCCAACAAGAACAATTAGCAGCTTCGTGGTGGCACATAGGTGGAGAGCTGTTTGTACATAATCAGTCATAGGAACCTCGATGGGCGGGACCAGGAGATGTCTTTCTTCCAAGTCTTGGAGTACCCTAGAGACCAGGAAAAGGGGGAAAGTAGAGGTTAATAAGTAACCTCAGGCAGATGCGTCTCCTGGTTCACTGCAGCTAACAACCACCTATGTGTCAGAGTCAGGAGCGCTCTGGCCCAGAACAAGGGACAGATGTCTACCCATGGCAGGCCTGGCTCCAAGGTCAGCTGGACTTAGCAGGACTTCTCCACCTGTCCTAGCAATTCAGCCTCCCACTCTGAGTGAACTCTGAGACCATGAGCTGCCCATGGCCAGTTTTAAGAACAGTGTCAGGAGCACAGTGACATGTAGCCATGAGCTCAGTCTGCACTGTGTGGATCATTATACACGGAATGAAAAGTTCCTTATGACAGCCTCTGCCTCCCAAGGATAAACAGGATCTAATTTTGCTTGGGCCTCAGCATGAGGTGGAAATGATGACATCTTAAGTTCTAGACTAAAACCTTCATTCTCAAAATCAACATAAAACCCATGTGGCCTGTCAAATTCCCCAAGGAGGGGGCCCTGCCAGCCCGGTGGATTTTACCCTGTTTGCAAACACCAAATGCCCAACACTAACCGGAGACTGGGCTTTTGCGAAGTTGACGTGAGCATACAGAAGAACGGCGATGTCCTTGTGTCCTGCTTCCAGGGCTATGGAGAGTGCGGTGCTGCCATCCTGAAAATGACATGGCAAGAACAAGCCTGGCTGAGGCTCTCACATCTCAAGACAGCCAGAAGGTAACAAAACTGGTAACGTTCCCCTAAATCTAGCCATCTGTTCAGTCCTTCAGGAAACATTTCTGGGTCTTAAGTGGTAGGGCCTGAGGATGTGGAGATGAACAAAGACAGCCTCTGTCCAAAGGAGACCAAGCAAAAGGACCAAGGATCCCTGCTCCACTTGCTTGGGCTTTGCCTATCAGAGATGGCACAGAGGTCTGTACACCAGGATCCTCAAAAGTGGAGGCTGTCCAAGAACTCCTATCCAACTGTTCTGCCGACCAAAAGGGGCAGCAAGAAAAGGAGGGGTAGAAACTCTAGCTTCCCGTCTTCATATAATCACAAATGACAGGTGAGCACCATGGTGAGTACCTCAGGGTGAGGACACTGTGATCCCGGAGCCCACAGCACCTCTACCTGTAGTTTACACCCATGTGCAAGTGCGCCATGCTGGCAGCTTGCACGTATGAATCTTATGGAAATACCAGGGAAACACTGCATATGGAAAAGAGATACTTTTAGGTAAGTGTTCAATTTCGATTAAATTGCAGGGCCCGAGACAGATAAGAAGGAACACCAAGGCAAAAACAGTACAGCTTATTTCTTTCCTAGTCTTGAAATAAGGACTCTCCTTTGGTCACATGCAATAGGAAATGATTCCCACGTGGTCTGAGTTATTAGTGTTCTTCCCTCCCATGCTAAAAATCTTGGGAGTTGCTTTCCTTTTGGAGGTCTGGTGAGTGCTCTCCTACCTGAATATGGATAAGTGGGTAATGAGCTGACCAGCCAGGATTTCTGGAGGTCCCTGTAACTCCATGGATGCTAATTACTAAGCTACACGTTTTCAGCCAGGGAGAAAACCAAGCAAAACCCCAAACGCATGGAACAGAGACTGGTCTGGAGGAAGAGTAACTTGGAAACTCTCACTCCCTGGGGGAAGGGAAGGGAATATTGTGTACTCCTGAGGAGGGAAGCAGTTGCCCTTCCACAGAGTGAAAGCCTCTGGTGCTTTGCTTACTGCCATGGGCCCAGGTGGGATCTAGAATTTATGACAAAGGAGGCCTGGGTACCAACACTAGTCCAGAAGAAGCAAGAAGGAGAGGGCCCACACCCGCCCTGGCTGAAGGCCCAGTGACATGCTCACGTTGTCCTCTAGGTGGCCGTTGCAGCCTGGCTGGGCCAGCAGCAACTTGACAATCTCCACATGCCCATGCTCGCTAGCACACATCAGGGCAGTGGAACCCTCGTCGTCCTGGATGTTGACGTCAGCCCCACAGGCCAGCAGGCCCTTCACCATGTCTATTCGTCCATGACTGACTGCCAGCATGAGGGCTGTCTGTCCTGCCTATGGAAAAAGATGGTTGGCTTCAAAAGTATAGCCTGAGCAGTAAGGGATCGGGGAAGCATGGAGGCACGGGAGCTGTGAGGTAAGGAAGATCACACAGAAAGGAGTCAGGTTTTAGTTTTGAGGATGTCTCAGTATAGCAGGGGGCTAGAAAGTTCTAAGGTTTAAGGTCAAGCTCTGAACATATGTAGGCTTGGAACTCTGTGTCTATCATGAACCAGGACAGCAAGATGGTTGTGAGTCAGTAGGCAATGAGTGTATGATGGGGTTCCCACATGGGGATCCCATACAGGGAAAGCCTCATATAAACAGACAGGCTTGCAGTTTTCTTGCAAATGTCCTACAGAGAGCCAGAGGTGAAGTAGGGTGAGGTTCCCTTGTGGGACTGAGCCCACGTGTCACTGGTGAGTTGGCTGGCAGTACTGCTCCATCAGCCTGCTCACAGAAGGTTTGCCTGCAGCTACTGGCCAGAGCGGAGAAGGGAAGTGCAGGAAGCAAGCCACTGACCTGACTGGCTTTGGCATTCACGTCTCCACAGCCGAAGAGTTCTTCCACCACCTGCATGTCTTTCTCTGCCTCCACAGCTGCAAGCGCCGCCAGCATGATAGGTGTGTACCCCGCCTTGTTCTGGTGGTCGACATTACACACATCTAGAAGAAAGTAGTCTCTTTAGGGAGAGCCATCCAGCAGCAGCAAGGGTTTGCTGGAGGTATGGTGTTACAAGAGCCCTGCAAATCAGTAAGCACTCCAGGACTGAGAGTGACTTGGAAAGAAATGAGAGAAATGTTTTCATGTTAAATAATGTTTCCCCCCCTTGCTTGGAGGGCTGGCAGCAGCAGAAGTGAAAGCTACGACTGTGTGTCCTGCCTGCAACTGGTGGTTGAGCTGCAATAGCTTGGAGGTATGTGGGGGTGGTTCTAAGTGTGCTTGCTCTGACAAGGGCTCCAGAAGTACAGATGTTCAGGAACTCACTGTTCTAGAACAAATGACTGGAGAATTACATATAAATAAGGACTGTGGTCCTGACCATCTACCTAGCCCTCTTGAGTTCTGCTGCCCTGAATTTACTACTGCTCAAACTTGTGGGGTCCCTAAAAGCAAAAATTCAATCACATTGCTTCCAACTCTAGGGTTTGTGGTGTAAGATCAATAATAAGGCTATATAAGTCCTCTAAGAAAATGCCCAGGGCCACCAGACTCCAGGGGCTGACTCGCTTCTATTCTGTAATTCTTAGGAAGTTTTCTAGAGCTTTAATGAGATGACAGTGGAGAGTATTAGAAAGCATCTTTTAAATATTTTATTATTTTTATTTTATGTATATGAATGTACTGACTGAATGTGTGTACGTGTACCCATGTCGTGCAATGTTCGTGGAGGTCAGAGAGGGCATTGGGTCCCCTGGAACTGGAGTTATGGACAGTTGTTAGCTGCCATGTGAGTGCTGGGAATGGAACCTGGGTCCTGTACAAGAGCAGTGTTGAGCCATCCAGCCCTGGAAAGCAGCTTTTATACTGAGCATATATCAAATTAAGATAGAACAAGAGAAAACTATGCTCAGGATCTCAAGCTATCACATAACAGTATGTACAAAAGCACTTATGTGTAAAAAGCAAGGGCTGTGTGGTAAAGAAGTGGGTGTACACAGTGAGGGAGATCCTCAAGAGTTACATTTATTTTTATTTTTATTTTGTGGTCTTTTGAGACAGAGTCTCCCTGTAGCCCCAGCTGTCCTGGAACTCGCTATGTAGACCAGGCTGGCCTCGAACTCACAGAGATCCGCCTGCCTCTGCCTCCCAAGTGCTGGGATTAAAGGTGTGTGCCACCACGCCCAGCTCAGTGTCACATTTTATGGAACCCAAAATTCATCCATAATGGTAAGCAATAAAAGCTAAATACATAAAGTGATTAACTAAAACCATTCAACAATGGAATAAATTTAATTTGCCAAGACACCTACTCTGGAGTTCTGAGGGCATTAAAAAAATCATTCATTTCAAGAGTAATCCTGAAATCTTGTTTTCAGTTTCCCTGGATACTATCTACTTCTCTATTTTAACAATCACTTGGGCTGACATTATCCCCAGCTGTTTGTAGTCTGGAAAATCTAAAGGGAAGGAGGCCTATAATTCCTTACTGTCAGTTGGAAACAGTTATTCCCTAACATGGGCAGTAAAATACAGAGCAAGCAGTCCTGGGAGGTATGTCAGTGAAGGAGCACTTGCCTAGCAAGCAAAGGCCCCAAGTTCTAACTCTAGTACTACCCTCTCCACCCCAAGAAAGGAAAGGAAAGGGAATAAGTAAACTGATAAAAAGAAAAATTGGTACATGTGCTTGGATTTTTTCCTCTGCATTAACCCAATATGCCCAAGATGCAGTCATGAATATCATGCCACTGGATCAAGAAACAGTGAAGGAAACTGGACAGTTTCACAATATATTCTACCTAAGGTGTTAACATTGTATCCTCAGTACACCAAGTTACTGTAAATTCTATATTAGTCATATCAGAAATACTGTTCCCAATGAGTAAAGTAGTTTGGGGATGAATATATGTACAGGCGGCTCCACTAAAACTCCAAGATGAAAGCCCGCTATTTCTCAAAGAGCCCCTTCTGTACCGTGCTCTCACTTCCTGTATGATGTGACCCATGGCTGTATTTTGGGATGGCAAGTCTCCATTATTTTCACTGATACAGTTCAGAGGTAACTTCCTTTGATTCATGTGATTCTTCAATAACAGTGTACTTTGGCAGAAGCAGAGATTCTACTGTGGTTTTGCTCAGTCCCTATCCTGAGTAACCAGTCACTTCTGCAGGGTCACTGAATAGTGTTTAGTGTGCAAGGACACATGGAGTGGTCACACACACACACACAAAAACTGTGGCTCTGGGCCTATGGGCAGCATTCTGCCTCCTGAGAGCAAACCAGCCAAACCTGCATGATTCAGTGAGGAGGAAGTGGGAGCCATGTTTATTAGCAGGGGTACACCTCACTTGGAGGCAGCTGATCTGCAGCAAGAATTTGAGAACCTCCCTTCAAAACAGATCTGGATTCTGTATCACCCAGGCTTGGTTAACTTCAAGCCTCTCACATATGTATGACTCAAGAACAATATTCTTGCCAATGTCATGTGGAAGAGCAACGAAGGAGCTTTAGGATGGCCAGAGAACTCAGTCATGGATCAACTGGCTTCATCAAGACAAGTTACAACCTGAGTGTTGCTAGGGGAAAGGCGGGCCCATCTCCACACCTGCATCCAGAAGCAACTTGACAATCTCGAAGTTGGAGTGCGACACGCTGTAGTGGAGGGCAGTGTTGCCATTGCCATCAGCCATGTTGATAATGTAGCGGAGCACATCTGGGGAGACTGCCTCAAAGGCAGCGATGTAGTCACCCACCATGGCTGGCACAGCTGACTTCTGACTGGACACACGGAACCACTCGTGCTGGAGGGTGTTCAGACAGAACCTCTGCCAAAACACCAAGCTGCCATTAGTTCTACTTACAGGCCTCTCTGAGCCTCAGTGGAAAGCCCAAGTAACATGCCTTTCATAGTCACCATGTGTATACTTAACATCTGTTCTCAAAAGTCAGTGAAGCCAAGAGCCCCAAGAACAGCTTCAAACAACAAACTGGAACTTCCTTCTGGTTTTAAACCACACAGTGTACATCTGATCCTGAGGTCACATAACCATGTGTGAGAAAACTGGGTTTAGAGCCAGATGCTCAAAGTCCACATCTGGATTCTACTTCTTATGGACTAATGACCCTGGAGACCTTACTTATTCCACATCTTAGGTCCCATGTCTGAAAAGAAAATAATACCCTCTTTTTTACATTGTCTGTAGTGAGGATAAAACACTTCTATATGACACAACTTTTGAGCTCTTCGTATTACGGAATTAGGCTGGCCTTGAAAATGCTCTTCATGGATATCAGGAAGAAACTTGCCCACCCTCAGTTATGCTGCTTCCTTCCAGTCCAGACTAGCTCCACTAGGTGGGGAGACCACAGTGTCTAACCAGATGATTCTGACTCCAATTCCCAATGTAAACGTTTAGCCACAGAGAGGAAACAAAAAGAAGTCTGGAATAAATTTCATTTCTCATTGGGATCATCTGCCTCTTAATGAATGGTTCCTCTCTGACTTCCTTACACTGGACCTTGTTTCACGGAAGATCAAGTTGAAATGAAGTTCACTGTAGACTAGGCATAGCCAGTGCTGGAGATGGAGATTAGGCTAATGCATGCCTTTTCTCAAGTGCCTTTAAAAAAAGATTTATTTATATTTTATGTGTATGAGTGTTTTGCCTGCACGTATACAAGTGTACCACATGAATCCAATGCCCTCAGAGGCCAAAAGAGTTCCTCCCCTGGAACTAGAGAGTTAGATGGTTGTGAGCCACTGTGTGGGTGCTAGGAACAGACCTGTGCAAGAGCAGCCACTGCTCTTAACTGCTGAGTCATCTCGCCAGACCCCCATGTGCCTTGTTTTTATGAGGTTATCATTCACATGTACTTTGTTTATTCATTTTTTAAAAAACTTATTTAATTTTATATGTATGAGTATATTGCCTACATGTACGTAAGTGCACCTATGTCACGCAATACTCAAGGAGGTCAGAAGAGGGCATTGAATCCCCTGGAACTGGAGTTATGAACAGTTGTTAGCTGCCATGTGGGTGCTGGGAACTGAACCTGGGTCCTCTGCAAGAGCAGCCAGTGCTCTTAATTGCTGAACATCTCTCCAGCCATTGCTCCATTTATTCCTTAAAAGTTAAAAAATATATCAGAGAATGATGGATGGCACTACACCCATGAGGTCTTCTTTTTACTGAAAAGGTGGGGTGGGGGTTCTAGAGCATCTCTCTCTTCAGCTTCCTGTTAACTGCCTGCTCAGTTTTAACCCATTCAATAACATTTTTGTCCCTCAAAAAGGGTCCTAGCCAGGAAGCAGAGAATCTAATTTTTCCCCCTTTTCTTCTCTGTCTTCTACACACCCAGGCTTGGAGTCATGATAAAGAAAGAAGGGAAATGATGTCCTCTGACTGTCCTGAGTCTGTTACTGCTGAATGGCTGGTGCTGATACGATTTTGGCCTTGTGACCACATGCATGTCCTCTACTTTCAGAGCACAACACTTTAAATACTTTTTGCAATGGATGAAAATTCAACCAGGAAGAAAAGGTATGAGTCAGAGTGTCTGACCACTTGGGGGACATAGAATGTTCAGTTCTTCATAAGGTCCTATAACCTAATATTTGGGGAATGGTAAAAGAAAAAACTATGATGGCTATAAAATCTGGGGTCCTAAAGCACAGTTTTAAATCAGGTTAAAGATAGTGGGATACAGCGACACTACAGTGACATTTTATGGTTTTACTATCTGTGACCAAGGTATGACCAGTTCGTGCTGATAAATATGGACCTGCAGTGGTATGCCGCCTCTTCAGGAGTTCTATTAGTATTCCTTTCTGTAAACATCAACGTCATGTTCCCTTTTCACACTATCTGAATGTCAAGACCCATTTAGGTTCTACACAAACAGACTTGAGAAGACACTAAGTTAAAACACATGCTGTATAATAAGGTAGTATGACTTACTGAAATAAACAAAACAAGGTCTTATACTCATGATCGGGGTGGTCTAAGCTGGGAGTGGTGGCTCATGACTGTAATCCCAGTACCTGGGAAGCTGAGACAAGAGGACTGTTGGGAGTTTGAGACTGACCTGGGCTACATAGTGAGTTCTAGATCAGCCTGAGCTATAGTGTGAGACTCTGTCTTAAAAAGTCAAACAAGCGAAATGGGTTAATCTGGTTCCAGCACTAGTGTGATCTGGTAGCTGCTGCTCTAGAGATACTTTTCTTTTAAAAAAAATTTTTTTATTTATTATTTTTTTAATTTTATGTGTATGCATGTATTATCTGTGTGTAGGTAAGTGCACCCGTGTCATGCAATGCCCGCGGAGGACAGAAGAGGCTTTCGGATCCCCTGGAACTGGAGTTATGAACAGTTGTTAGCTGCCATGTAGGTGCTGGGATTTGAACACAGGTCTTCTGCAAGAACAACCAGTGTTCTTAACTGCTGAGCCATCTCTCCAGCCTGAGAGAGATACTTTTTTAAAACATATTTTTTTTTACATTTATTGTGTACATATGTATGTGAGTGCACATACCACATACATGTGTGCAGGTAGGAGGACAACTTGTGGAAGTTCTTTCCTTCCACCATGTGTGTTCTAGGGATCAAACTTAGTTTGTCAACTTGGTGGCAAGCACCTTTACCCACTGAACCATCTTGCCAGCTCCTTAGAGACACATTTTTAGGGCCTCAGATACTGGGGCTAGATTTGACTAGTGTGGTCTCATGGACACATGCACTTGTGTACTTCTGTCCAGGCCTGTTGACAGCCATTGCCAAATTTTAAGAGTGTGCCAGACCCACAGCATTCCAATTATATTTGTCACACATGTGGAAACCTGCTTTTCTAAGATTAAATAATTCCTTAGGTCTCATTTTGTTTTCATAGCTCCATAATCTTGAGAGCCTTGTAAGTCCACAGTGCACCAGCTGCTGACTTAAATGCTTTAACATGAAAAGGAGTAAATCTGCTGACATATAAAAATTCAGATACATGCTATTATGAAATGAATGCAAGAAGTCACATTTTCACAATGCCCTGAAGATGGAGCTGCCAATCAGAGGTCAGGCCTTGCAGCTGCACATCAAATCTCAGTGTACGACACACTTGGAGACACACCAGATTGACCAGAGCCACAGAAATACCTGTATCTTATGCCCTGCTATTCGTGGTCACTAAGGCAAGCGCAACCTCTATACAATGTGCTTCCGAATCTCTCAAACTATGAAGTGACAGTGCAGTTATTTTTCTGTTTAAAAATAGTGGCTGCCTGCATTCCACATCAGAACCTAATATGTACTTTCATAACTGAAAGGAATGCTGACCTCAGTCTAGATAGGTTTCTTCTGAAAAACTACTCTGGCTTAAAAAAGGTCTGGGATGCTGCTCAGATCAGAAGGTTCTGTGGACAGAAGCACAGTATGTAGAAAGAAGATGGCCTGCAATTAGCCCTCTCATCTTCCTGCAAGTATGTGCCTCCCAGATGCCTCCACCCCAAGAAAAGTACAGGGTGGGTCCAGGATGTCCAAAGCCAGGCCTCAGGGAACCAGTGTGCTCCCTGGGCTGGGAGGCTCGATGCTCATTCTGCCATCCATGCTAGAAATGGTTCAGGAGTTGCATGCATGCAACAGCTCAGGGGTCTGTGGACAGAAGCACAGTATGTAGAAAGAAGATGGCCTGCAATTAGCCCTTGCATCTTCCTGCAAGTATGCCTCCCAGATACCTCCACCCCAAGAAAAGTACCAGGTGGGTCCAGGATGTCCAAAGCCAGGCCTCAGGGAACAAGTGTGCTCCCTGGGCTGGGAGGCTCGATGCTCATTCTGCCATCCATACCAGAAATGGTTCAGGAGATGCATGCATGCAACAGCTCAGGGGCAGGCTACCATGACCTTGACAGTGCCATCTGGGTATGCTGTACAGACTGGGGATGCTATCATTCAGACTCACCACACCTTTGCTGGTCAAAGCTTTGGGATCGTTTGTGTTATTTTTCAGTAAGTTGCATGCAGATAACATCTTTTCACTTAATTCATATCTAAAAGGAAAAAAATAAAGGTCAATCAGGACTGACCATAAAAGGAAAAGCGATTTTCATCTCAAAGCCCACACCCTTTAATAGGTCATGGCCCTGAACCAGCCTAGGCAGATTGTGATGTTTGGGGACATCACCACACAAAGCAAATACCAAGGTTTTTCATAAGGGTAGCTTTCAGCCACACCAGTTGGGCCTTTAGGACATTATGAAACAACATTAAGAGAATTTTTGTTCCTTTTGCTGTGAGTTCTTAAAAATCTTCTTATTCTTAAGGCATTAAAGAGGTCTAAATTACTACGTATCTGTTATGCTGAACCCACATCTAGTGATTCAACGAGTGTTTGTTCAACACTTGAAAAACTAAAAATCAGATGGTATGGTAAATAAATTATATCTCAATAAAATAATTTAAAACTCAAATGATGAGAGATTTCAAACCATTTGAAAACACTTGGAAATATAAAGCAGAAACACCCTATGTTAATGTAGTTAATTTCCATTTGCCAAATTGAAGGGTCAACTTTTTAAAATGTTCCAATTTACACTTTACAGAATGAAAAACCATGCTGAAATTTCCACCTTTCCTTATTTTATGAGCAACAGATCTACATTTACTAGTGCCATCTAAAATTCATTCCACTTCTGAGGCACCTGTCTTAGCCAACCAGAGTATGTGGTACTGTATCTCAGTGCTGTTATGATATTCCCAAACCTAACGGTGTGTTCCTTGTCACTCTGTAAGCAACAAAACAAAGACACATGACTAACACAGTTTATGTGATTTCTGGTTGAGGCTAAACAGCTGTCCCTTACATATGTGCTGGTCCTGTAACAACAATTCTGACATTTACACCAAAATGTGAAATCTTA